CTCAATGGCCTTCATTGCATGACATTTACAACATCAGTCCAGTCTGGTGGAGTAGACGATGAGACCCTGGCCGAGAGTGCATTCCAGGAAGAAATCATCCCCGAAGAGGTTCGTCATTTGACCGCCTTCGGCCGACCAGAGGGCAGGAACCACGATGGCGACACCGTCGCGACCCAAGCTCCAGACGACCGACAAGTCGGCGAATCCTTCCCCGGCTACATAATTGGACACCCAGGCGTGGGCAGCACTGAAGATGGTCGAGTCAGGACCTGGAGAGAGAGAAAAAAAAAAATCTCCCCGTCATCGCATCCCCTACGAACGAGCGATCGAACGAAAGGAGCCCCACTATCGGAGTTGTAAACGAAGATCTGCCTGAGGTAAGCTCCGCCGGTGACCCCCGCGAAATCCAATCCGCTCCCGGTGGGATCGTTGCACTGGTCGTAGTTGATTCGAACTTCCAAGTGGATTCCTTCCAGGGCTGCTCCGTACACCTCGAGGTAGGTATTGAGGGAAAGACTAGAAAGAGATGAGATCGCATCGCATTTCACCGTCAACGATAAAGGTGGAAGTCACTGCAGCATTCCTCTTTTTTTTGCTTGGACAGCCACATAAAGTGATGAGGTCGCGAAAGAAGTCGCGGTATGTGTGTTCGTGTGAGGGTGGGTGGATGCATGCGTACATACCCGTCTGGAATGAAATTGCCCGAGTACGATATAGGGCGAAGATCCACCCATGCATCGATTCATTACATCGCTACACAAGATGCCTGCATCTCACCGAGTAGCTTTCGCTGGAATTTCACAAGAGACTCCGGAAAAACGAAGAAAGAGACGAATTGCACGCACGAAGACACGAGCTTCATCTTCGAGAAAGGCCTTTTCGATTGCAATTCCTGCAAGCGTCTCTCCTCTGGCCTCATCGCCTCGAGGCAATATCGCTCGAGGACTTCCGTCTCCCCAACCCGATCGAGGTCGACGAGGCACGACTGGCCATCCCTCCGAAGATGGCTTCGTGCAATGAGGAGACTTCAGCAGTGATCCGCAAGAGGTTTCTCGTTTTCCTCTTGCTACCTTTGTGGCAAAAGCTACGCCACTTTTATATGCAAATTGGATATCGTTTGATATCATGGAAAACGTCTAAAGCCTATTCTGTTTCCCGTGAATTTCTAGACTCCCTCATCGAGGCAAAGACGGCTGACTCGGCAAGCCTCAATCAATTTCGGCATTAGTGTCGATTTTCGGCCCTCTCGCACTTCGAGGGCCATGTTTTCCCCATCAGTAGTTTGGGGGCACAAAATTCCTTTCGACCCGAGTGAAAGCAATTAAAACCCCCAAATCCCCGACATCGCCACTGAACGCAATGACGCCGAAAGGCGCTCTCACGGATTTTTTAATCCACCCGGGAAATGACGTCAACGATCCGGTTCACCGTTTCCCACATCCATTCTCGACGGAACTAATCAGATCATCATCTTCACGAAAAGCAAAACTCCTGCTGACGTCACACCAAACACCCGCGACGTTCGTAATAAGTAGAGTACTCGAAAGCGATAGTGGGAACGCTCGCGACGCAAAACGCGGAAAGGGTGACATGAACGACGGCATAAAATAAATGCACTCGCGATACCAGTCGGCATATCTTCAGAGAGCTCAGTGAGCCGAAATCGATGCCACGAGGTCACGCGATTTGAATCGCGAACAATGGAAGGAGTGAGGATTTCCCGTACCTTTCCCTGAGGGGGGCGGAAACGGTGGCGCCGGTGCCCAGCTGGCAGGTGTAACTCAGGTTCGCCAGGGCTTCGTTCGTGGCGAGTTCGATGAGAGTCATGTGGTTCCGAAGCAGGTTCTCATCGGTCATGTAGCTTTCCATGAGCACGCCCTCTCCCGAGCCTGGGACGACAAAAAAACTGTTGGATTTCGTTGCGAAATGAGCGGTTCGAGAGCGCCTCTTGTTCCATCCGAACCGGATTTGAAAGAGTTCGCATCGCTAATTGGTGGAATCCGGTGGATCGAGAGGGAAAACACTCGCGACTCACCGCCGTGAAAGAGTTGAGTGTAGGCGATTTCGTGACCCACGGCGCTGTCCACGTCGTACTGCTGCCATTCGAACAGCCTCACTCCCACCAACTGCGTGGCGGGGAGGATGCGATTTTAGTCCTCTGAATCATCTGAAGAGAAAAAATGGGGGGGGGGGGGGACACTCACATTAACGAAATTCGGAGGCGAGTTACACCGGGCGTGATCGAGAAACACTTGAAGTTCCTTCCCAGACAACAATGCCGTCTCCGCCTCCGCGAATGTCGTGTACGTCGCAAATTGCTCCTCTGGAAGGAAAATCTTTGAAATCAGGCAACCTTGTAAGTCAGTGACATGACGTTAATTTCGGCAACTTTTTTACGATGTCTTTCGTCCAGTCAGAAAATTGCCCTTAAATCCTGACAAAAAATACCACTGCAGAACAAACATCATTCCATGTAATCGTTAGGAAGCCAAGTCTTGCCTTTCCGTTACTAACTTTATAACTGCGAACCAGAGACTGTGCCTGCCGTAGCCTGTCTTTTTATATTGGGTATAAACGTGTTTTCTTTTCCTGTTCCAGTTCCTTTTCATTTCACTTCCAAATATGCTTTTAATAACCATGGTGAAAAGGAGCACCTCCTTCTTCATATAAGCCCGGCTTCGTCACTGGCCCACTAAAAGCATTTCTGAATTTTTTTTTGGCTGGAAACGATTTTCCTTTTCTGCACAGGGGACAGGACCATCACGCAGTCACTTTTGGCCACCGTGCCAGCAGCTGGCTGTACCATGTATCTGACCGCTTGCGAACGATGACGTGAGATTCGACGAATGAGGTAATACGCCTCCTACGGGCAGACGTGTCATCTGTTTTTTTACCGAACGACAAGCCACAATTTTCAATCGGTTAAGAAAGATTCTCTAGGCATTTTAATCAACGCTTCACGTTTCAAAACGGACGCCGAAGTAATGCTTCGTCCCATCTGTTTCACAGCGTGCCGTTATTCCACGAAACCCCTCCCTTTTCCCCGCCACAGGCAAGCCCCCACCGAAATAAGCCCGCTTCAAAGCGATCTAAACTGAAACGCGAACGAAGAAAGCACTCACGCTGCCGATACTGGAAGCGAGCACCTTCGTCGAGCGTGCACCGGAACCCCTCGGGATAAGGATACTCGTCCTCCCAGGTCGTCGTGAGCAAGGAACTCCCGGTGACGTTCACGGATCCATCCGGGAAGACCCTCATTTGAGCGACGTTGAAGGTCGGCGTGGTCCCGTCCTGGCTCAGTCCCATGTAGTCGTACTCCAGGTAGATGTCTTCGATGCTCGGGTCTGTCGAGGCGGAATGTTCCGCGTGAAAAAGGGACTCTATTTGGGTCACGAGATGGTTTCGAATATTTAGTTGCTACGTGAGATAATGAGTCCATAATTGGAACCTGCAGATTTATCGAGACTTTTTTCTGTTTGGGGAGGACGTGCCAGTCGAGGAAATCTCAGTTGCCTTGAGGCATCGACTCAAACTTTTCACTCAAGAAGAAGTTTAAAATCATCAACTGACTGTTTTGGATGTAGAACTGAAGATGGTAGCTTCCTCCCTGAGCCTTGGAGACTCCTGGGGTCGGGTTTCCTTCGCACAATTCCGCCAGGCCCAGAAAGGTGAGGTGTATACCGGACAAGAGCAGCGATTTGAGGTCATCGTAGGTCGTTATGTGCGTGCTGGAAAAGGGAAATAGCGTTTTTCTCAGCGTGGAGTTGAAAAGTGTCGACCGTGGGGAAAACTTGTTCCTGACAAAAACGAAAGGTTAAACAGGGCGAGAGTGAGAGGGAAAGCTCGTATTCGCTTTTGTAATCCCGTGAATTCGTCGCAGCCTGTTTCGGTGGGAAAGCGACGTGGCTCTGCGACCTCGTGCCGTGTTAGTGGCCACTTTCGAGTCTGTGAGAGGGGTAAGAGGTCTCTTCGTTCTCGAATGCTCGCGAGACGACGCGCAGATGCAAGACGATTTAGCGATGCGAGGTTACACCTCGTACTGACGACTTTGGGTTGGTGAGGCCCATCGCGGCGCCGCTCGCGTCTGCGCTGTCGCTCGAGATTAAATTTCATTCAGGAACGAACTGCTCGATCCGATGAAGTCACTCGCGCCGTGTCGCTAGCTCCAGTTTCCTTTTTACTCTGACGGGAGCGAAAAGATCGGAATCGTTCCATCAGAACGAAGGAAATGTTCCTTTCCCAAGATGAGATGCCCTCGATCGCACAACTTCCCCGAAGTCATCGTCTTTCCAGAGAACGCCTGTCCTTGAAGTCACGATTTCGTTTTGAAAGAAATGCAACCACTACGGTCTCCTTGTTTTCAGACTGAAACAGAGCGACCTGCAGTTTTTCTCGGCACATATATTCCACAGTCCTGAGCACCTTCCCACAGAAATAATTCTCTTTTAAATATCGACTGCATCACTTTGAAGAGTCTCTGCACTTATAAAAAAAAAAATTGGTGTTTCTTCTCCGATGAATGCATATTGAATAAGTACATAAAAATCCGAATGTCCAGACGCCGGAAACATAGTGGATGTGATCAAGTTCGACTTTTTTCTGTGGAATGACGGAAACTCATCGTCGTCCACCGCAGAGTCGTGTCCATGGATCGTTTCCATGCATGCGAGAGAATCAGTTTTCACTGATGGAATTTCCTTTTCTTCTCAGCCGGGTGAGTTGTGCGCAAATGGGCCCGCGGGGACAAGGATATGATCATGGATAAGATAAGGAATTTGTTATTATCTGTTTTAAGGCCCTGTTCCACTCGGCGAGTACTCGCCAAATGTAACAGGGCCTTTAGTCATCAGGGAAAATCGATAATAATAAAAAATTTGCGCACTTGGGAATTACGGCTTAAAATTATACTGAAAATGACTTAATTACTTTAAATTTTCATCTCACTCTCACTCATGACACTCATGACTAAATTGACTAAAGTAATTTCACATACTCAATAAGGCAAAAACTTTTTTTTTTCAGAATTTAATCCTGTAATTTTTTTAAGTGCAGCCTTTAAGCCAACCCAAGAGACAGAGGAAAACCAACTTGGGGAAGTTGAATCTGCTCTGGACGAAGAAGACCCCGGTGTTGATCCTGCAGTCGGCGGAGACGACGCCCAGGATGGTCCCGTCCACGCTCGACGCCTCGTACATGTCGAAGGACGCGGTGTCGGTGGCGTCCATGTAGCCCAATAGGAGGATCAGGTGACCGTTGGCTGGCGAGGGAAAATCTCGTTTCTCTTCGGTTCGTCGAGAAGCCTCGACAGACTTCGGTGTGTCGATTCCTGACCTTTTTTTTCTGCTTTTAGTTATCCTGCCTTTTTAGGTCGTGGTGGTGCTGTCATATTTTTACTTACTAGTATTAGCATTTTCACACCAGCTCGATAAATGCGAAGAAACTGAGATATTTTATGTGTTAAAGCGTTGAAGCGAAAGGATCAGTTGCGATCCGAGGCGGCAGCAAGCTTCTTGGATCGATTTAGGAGTTTTGAATCTCAAAAGACGATTAAAATTTGCATAAAGTTTGGCTACTTCCTCCTCGTCTCATCAAATTTTTTTTTTCTGGTTCGAAAACGGCGAGCTGCCTCATCGAGGAGAGAAATTCTTCCGACGAATTCTTCCTCACGAAGGCTCGTGAGAGGCTCGTGAGAAGAGAGAAGTCGCCAAATCACGTCATAGTACCATGTACATTTTAGCAAAAAAAAAAACATTTTGTGAGCTCAACAATTTAACGGATCCCACCAAGAAAGCATGGAGAAAGAATGCTTGCCAGAATAACATGGCATAGGAGCGTTTGGGACGAAGAGACATAAGACCTAGCATGATGGACTCGGATTGCAATATGCCAAATTTTGAACCACGATCATTTGTTTCTGAATACCCAGAGACGCCTCCGAATGCTCTGTGGCAGGACCGAAAACATGCGTTTCTGGTATGCACACATTAAACGCGACAACGGGGTCTCAAAGGGTAATCGTAAAGGGTAAGGGTAATCGGTGTGAGAACCATTTACTGTACATACTCCAGCCGTTGCATACCTACTTAAGAAATATGCGGCTTTTCGTTTGGATTCTCGGATGCTGAAAATATTCAAAACGATTACAGCTAGTTCTCGGGAAGTATGGCTGTCAATAAGCCATAACACTCACCGTCCCACCGTCACGAGTACAAGGGTGACTCATGATTTCTGTCATTAAAAATGTTATTTATTTTTTGTTAGCGAAAGCTAAGGTATAGGGTATACAATGATATATGATATGATCCCTATGCTGCTAAGCCTCACCACAAAAGTGACAGACTGCGTTCAGATTACCAGTTGATAGAAAAAAAACGACTCTGCAATTTAATAAACTGATTGAGACCAATTCGCTTAGAAAAAAAGAATAAATGCGACAGGAAATCAGACATTTCGTTATTTAGAAAGTGAGCAAATCAGAATATTCCCTCCTGGGATTTGCTCCGGGTAATGAAATAATTATAATTAAAAAAACTATTTCAATGCAAGTGCAAGTACGTCGACACGAACTGCGCGGAGAAGAAAGCGAAAATGCTCATACGGTTGATGTAGTTGTGAGTGAAAGTGATGAAATCGCTGCTTCCATCCTGGAGCCGGATCCTCGACCAAGGGTCCAGGGGAATCGAAATCGTCTGGCAGAATTGATTCCATCAACTTTCACGATTCGATGACTAAATGGACAATTCAATGATTTAATGGACTATTCGATTATTTAATGGACTCACCGGCCTCGAAGCGGCAGGGAAGTCGTTCGTGCAGCTTGTGACGTCGAAGATGGCCGTGACGTGATGGGCGAGCTCCAGCGCGGAGGCCACCTCGTCGTACGACTCCAGCAGCTGACCTCCTTTTTTTTCGAAGAGGAGGAACGAAGTGTTAAAGTCGAATTTAAAATTTTAAAGGACAGAAATTTTCGTGTTGTCGATGCGATCGACAAGAAGTGACGAAAAGTGCAGAGAATCGCTTCGCCGAGGAGCTCTTCCCCCACCGGGAAGAAAGTCACGGAGTCCGTCTTTTATATTGCCACGTTCCAATTTCGAGGTAATTTTCCTGTCTGAATGGTAGCCTCTGCTCAGCTTTTTGTTTCTTTATGGAAATGTTTTCGTGAATTTTGGAGGCAGCTCGAAATAATAACCTCTCTCTGGGCAGAAACTATGCAGAGGTCCATTGAGTCTTCAGACCCATCTGATATCACAAATGTCAGATTTCCCTTACATCATCGTGCGTCATCGCTCGTAAATCCCGCAGTAGCACTACGTAATTTCGTTTCGTGCAAAAGTCAGCAATCTCAAACGCCGGAGGGTTCGGCATTCACGCGCGCGTAGACTCGCATCAGAGACTTCAAATCAGAGTAACTATTTCTCGGGAGTTATCTCGCGCACATAGGATGTCAATACATTCGCATGTCAATTCCTTACCCTGGGCGAGAATGCCGGGCAGAAAGAAGGAGAAAAAGCAGAGGAACTTCATGATGGAAGAGACACTGGCGCACAGGCGCTTCGATTCTCACACGGGGTGGGACGTGAGTCATTTGCGGATTTATTTTCCTCGCTTTTCAGGTGTTGGTGAGAGATTAAATTTATGGTGGATTTTCCTTGAGGTCTGAAGTTACTACGTTGGAGTTTTCGTTGCAAATTGTCTGTGAAAGTAAGCAAATAAATTTTGTAAACATGGATTGAGGATCATTCATGAAGTTCATTAATAATTAATCTTCCCAGGGACCTAAGATTCAGACGTGAATTCAGAAATTTACTCAAGTTCCGAGCTTGTGCAAATTTCTCATGGATCGTCGGCCCAGCCACGTCTGATCGAGGCTGCTTCTTGTGTTTCCGACAATCCGACAATCCTGATTTAAAGCTTTCGGGAACCATACTTCATCTTCGTTTCAGTGCCAACCGAGTTGCCGTTTGCAATTTGCAAACGTTTCGGCAATCTTTAGACTTTTTGGAACGTCATCTGTAAAATCTCTCGACTCCAAGTACTATCGGAAAGACAAAGAAACAAAATTGGTGACAAACTTATGACACACCCAGTAGGATATAAAACGAGCCAATCCCAGCTTTTGCTGCATCTGTCATGATGATATCTCCGGGAATACCTCCACCTGCTGCCTCCCCGCGGTTTATTTCTGGCCAACAATAAGTTACGTACAGCGGCTCATGCGTAGTGGAGGGAGGGGGGAAGGTGGGGTGGGGGTAGGAGGGTGTAGAAGTTACCCTCTCCTCCTCCGACTAGCGTCTCGTGAAAATAATAAGAGAATCTTCGATTCATATGGAAATCTACAACCAAATTTTTTTTTAGTTTTTGGAATTTCCAAACTCTCGTCCTCGTCGCGGAGCCCGGGCAAAAGACCGAGTTAGGGAAGTTCCCGTCAGCGTGAAGTCAACGGTCTCGAGGCCGCAACATTAGCGGTGAAATCCTGGGGGGGGAGAGGAGACTCTGAAATTGAAATGGGTAATAAATATATTACGATTTATTTTACGATTTGCATTTGAAAGAAACTCGGGGAATGCTAGCCGAGGATGTATCGAGTTCCCGGAGACTCACGTGTAGCGTGGCAAAAAAACATTCCGAAGAACTAATTAAATTGTTCAGAACAGCCCATTCAAACGTGATGTTTAAAATTTTTGCGTTTGGGACGAAAGGTTTTGACGATAACTCGATAAAATATTTTCAAGTAGGCTGATGCGCTGCCATCTAGTAATGACACTATTAACTATTTGATAAGAAAGCCTTGAAGTACCGGCCGGCACATTACTGCTCATTGCTGTCATTAACAGCAAGTGACAGCCAGGATTTCGCTGAAGGGGGGTAGGGGTAATCCTAGCCAGGCGAGGATTTCTCCAACTTCTCTTTTGAGAGCATTTTGCATTTATACCAGAGTTGGGGGATGAGTGAGAGTTAAAGCCAAACTTGTGGGGCTCCATGACCATGGATTCATCACAGTGACGCTTATGGAAGCGGAACAAATGTCTCGCAATAGAAAGTCGCTGCCGTAAGTAATGTCCGTTCAAATCTGTCTGTCGCAGGCATCCTGTTTCCAGCGATACCTCAATCACAATGGATGTCACTTGCAACTGTCAGAGTAAACATTTCTCAGCCACACAAGAACAGGTTCAAAAGACTGATACTTTACACGCGTTACGACCTCGAGAACTTACATTAGGTACCTTAATTGTCTCGCGCGATACTGGCGTAAGAGCTATGCAGGGTTGCCTTAACCTCGAATCCATATACTGCTTTTACTTACTCCTTCATGAAAGAGGATTAGGATCCAGCAATGGCCCTTTCTTCATAGATGCGAAGGGAACATCTGAATGACATCCGTGCCAAAGAATTTAGCAACTGCTAAGGTTATGTAATAAAAAATGTCAAATGGCGAGGCTTAGATTTGATTTCCCGTTGTGGACTTTATTGCAATACATACTGAACACGGCGGTTATGAATTAATCCTGTCTGCTAGAGTAGATGACCATGCCCTCGCCAAGAGTGCATTCCAGGAAGAAATCATCCCCTAAGAGGTTCGTCAGTTGGTCGCCTTCGATCGACCAGAGAGCAGGAACAACGATGGCGACATTGCTGTGATCCAAGGTCCAAACGAAAGAACTGTAAGCGAATCCTTCTCCTGATATATAATTTGTCACCAAGGAGTAGGCAGCACTGGAGATGATCGCTTCGGGACCTGCAGAAACATTCCCATCAGAATCTTCATCGGGGATGAGTAATTACCGAATTAACGAAAGGACCATTACTATCGGAGTTGCTTATGAACATTTGCCTGAGGTAAGCGCCACCGGTGACCCCCGTGAAATTCAATCCACTGCCGGTGGGATCGTCGCACTGGTCGTAGTTGATTCGGGCTTCCAAGTGAACTCCGTTAAGGACTGCTGCAAACACCTCGACGTAACTGACCAGTGAACGACTAGAGAGAGGTAGAACGCGTCACATTTAACCGTCAGCGAAAAAGACAGAAAAGACAGCAACATGCATATTTTTTAAAGTCAATCTCCTTTCTTTGGAATACATGAGGTTGCTTATGAAATCCCTCTAAGGCCTCGATGTGAGGGCGTATATGCGTATGCGGGTGAATGGGTGGATGGACTAGTGGATAGGCAACGAGTGGATAGATAGTAGATGAGTGGGCATCAGCACCATGCTCTTTTAAGCATTTGCAGATATGGCATTGATTCGGGCTTCTTCAATATTCGCACTATTCGCAGGCGTGATAAACCACAGCAACCTCTTAACCATGGCAATCTTCAGACGTCGAGAGATTTCAAACCTTTTTCACGATAAGGATTTCGTGGAACCGACCCAAGGCCTTCATTTACAATGAACTCAACGATGTCGAACTAACCAGATCACGTGCTACTTCTTCAGGGGCAAAATTCTACTTACGTTGTTCTAAACTTTCGAGATGTCTACAATAAGTAGAGTATCCCATTGCAACAATGGGAGAGTTCGCGATCCAAGTCGTCGATAGGGCGATGTCATGGATTACGTAATTAGTGCGTTCTCGATCTTCCGGAAGTCGATCAGTCAGTCAGAGAGAGTCAGTCAGTACCGGTATACCAGGATCGTCAACCCTTCAAAGAACTCGCTGAACCTAAACTGACGCCATCAAGTCAGCCGATCGCCGATTTGAATCGAAGAACACAGCCATGGAAGGAGCGGCGATTTGAAATACCTTTCCCTGAGAGGAGCGGAGACAATCGCGCCCGTCCCCACGGGGCAGATGTAAGTCAAATTCCCCGTGATTTCATCTGTGGCTGGGTCCAGGAGAGTCACATAGTTCCTCAATAAATTGTCGTCGGTCATGTAATATTCCTGCAAAACCGCAGATCTCGTACCTGCACAAGGTGAAAAACTAGTTGACGACTTTCCCCTATAAAAATGAGGGAAATAAACCCGCAATAGCGAGATTTACTTTTCGCCGAGTATGAAAGACTTCATGAACTCCATATGTGCGCGTGATGGACACCCAACGGGGGAGAAATTAAAATTCAAGGGACTCACCAGTAGAAAAGAATTGAGCAAAGGTGATTTCGTGACCCTCGGTAGTGTCCACTCTTAACTGCTGCCATTCCAATAGCCTCACTCCCACCGCCTACATTGTGGTATCCTATTAAACGCAATTCTAGCCCCAAATATCATCAGAGAAAGCAAAAGAAAAGAAGAAACACACAGAGAGAAATGACGGAGCATCATCACAATATGCATGATCGAGAGACACTTGAAGTTCTTTCCCAGCTAGCAAGGCTGCCTCGGCCTCCGTATATGACGCATACAGCACAAATTCCTCGTCTAGGTGGGAAAAAAAATTGAATCAGTGAAATCTCAAGGAATGGTTTTCATATTTGATTATTTTTGGAGGCAGAACCTTTTACGATGCCTCCATCGGCAAAACTATGCTTGAAAAGGGGAATCAACATCGGAATAAACGGAAATGACTGACCTGGTCGATATTGGAAGCGGACACCATCGTCGAGTGTGCATTGAATCCCCTCGGGGAAGGGATATTCGTCTTCCCAGGTCGTCGTGAGGAAGGAGTTCCCGGTGACGCTCACGGATCCATCCGGGTAGACCCTCATTTGAACGACGTTGAAGGTCGGTGTTGTTCCGTTTTGGCTCAATCCCATATAATCGTATCCCAAGATGATGTCCTCCGATCCGTCATTTGGATCTGCAGGGATAAAGCGTATCGTGATTCCGAGAAGACAGTAAGGATGACAATAAAAAATGGCAGTATTTTTTATATTCTATTGTTCTCAAGGAAAGATTCTGGCATAAATGGAGCTTGCATTCAATCAAATCCCTGCTTCGAAAACAGAAAGAGGAATCGAGAATATATAACTTGCCATGTGGCATCGACAATTTCATTCATACTTCCGAGAATGGGCTTCAAAAATATCTACTGACTCGTTTCAATGTAGAACTGAAGATGGTAGGTTCCTCCCTGAACCTTGGAAAATCCCGTCGTTGAATTTCCTCGGCACAATTCAGCCATGCCCAAGAAAGTAACATGAGTTCCGGCTAAGAGCAGGGATCTTAGGTCATCGTAGGTCGTTATGTGCATACTGGAAAGAGGAAATAGCATTTTCTCAACATGCAGCTAACGTGATATTGACTGTGGTGAGCTCCTACCTGGCAAAATAAATGAAGAAACACTGCAAGAGTGACAGGAAAAGAGGTATTTGTCTTTTACTCGATATATCGTCAACTGCGAAGTGCGAAACGCGATTTCGAAGCCAGCAATTTTGTTTCTAAGGTTCTCGTTCGTTCGATTGGCGATACAGTGATGAGAACTGACTTGGGGAAGTTGAATCTCTTTTGGATGAAGAAGACGCCAACGTTGATGACGCATTCAGAGACGATCGAGTTCGTAATGTTGCCGTCGAGGCCGGAGATTTCATAGATGACAAATGACGTCTGCCCGGTCGCATCTAGGTATCCCGTCACCAGCAGGAAGTTCCCATCGGCTGGTAAGGACAGATGTCACAACTCAGTTCATCTACTAAAGGTAGAGTAACCGGGGGAGTATGGGCAGCTGTTCATGTTCTCTCGCCTTACTCTTGCTGAGAGACACACGAAAAATCTGATATTTTGCTTATGCTACTCATGCTTGATGTCACAGAAGTGTTTTCGCGCTCCTTGATGAGATTGTTACCGGAATTTAAACTGACATGGTCGTATTTGTGACGAATTGTTATTTAGGAAGTGTCTTTGATCGTGTAGCAAGGGAGCTGCAAAACCTTTCGTCGATTATCCAGTCCAGGGCATATTTTAATGTGCAGTTGGGATAGATATGTGCGGTTCTGATATATTTTGTACAACTTTGAATTGGAATTTGTGCAGTTAAAAACTAGGCAAGAATTACATTTTGTAACAAAATTTTTACTTTTGACAGGAGGGCGCCAAAGTGTTTACTGTTCCCGAGAATGCTGACCCTGCTAAATTGTATCCATAAAACCTCCGTCCAGAGCGCCATTTCCCCTAAGGCCGGCCCTGCTTGCATGCATGCCATTTGCGTTGGATGGGATCTCACGCGAGTCCGAGCGTGTTTCCATGGTTGTGTTAAGGGAGAAATGCACTGTATAAACGAAAGAGAAATGACGCCAAATTGGCTTTAGGAACCGGAGGGAACCCTATTCAAAACGCAAGCCTTGCATTTCCTCTTTACATGGGAATGCATGCGGACATGTATGCTCACAGGTGTTCTAATGCTAATGATCACGCATTGTCGTACGCCTCACGCGCGAAAGACTCAAAATGGGAAACGACCTCAAGACCTCCATGAACCCCCTCCCCCCCCCCCCCCCCCCCGATGGAAAGTTCGTTCATGGAAAACCCTTGTAAAGAAGGAGCAAGTGGCTCTCCTCGAGGCAAAGTCTCTCGAGCAAGGGTTCTTCCTATTTCTAGCATGTCGAGCTGATCGATGTAAAACCGCTTGCTGACTTATTGACTACCGTACCATGGCTAACTAGAATTTTCCCAATGTGAACCAGGCCAGGATTCGCGAAACTTTCGTCATGGTAACGAGAACGTGTGATTCACGGTCTTAGAACCTTAGCATGGGGAAAGCAGCTTTATGATAAATCTCTGGATGAAGGAATCACTGTGAAGACTTGACCCAAGCTTTTCCAGATGGAAATCAAAGATGAAATCATCTCTTGCTCTTTCAGCTACGAGATCCACACGTAGTTTAATTCGAAGACAGTGAAAGAATCATACTGTTGATGAAGTTGTGATTGAAAGTGATGAAGTCCTCGCTCCCGTCTTCGAGCTGGATCCTCGACCAAGGGTCCATTGGAACGGAAACCCTCTGGCACAAGGAACACATAATTCGTACCATTTCATCAATTTTCTTTTGTTGAAAAAATAGGACGGACTTACGAGACTGAATTCGAGAGGGAATTCGGAATCGCAGCTGTCTGCTTGGAAGACGGCCGTAACGTGATGGGCGAGTTCCAACGCCGACTGCACTTCCTCGTAGGATTCCAGTATCTGACCCGCTTTTTTTCACGAAGGGAATGAAACACTTTCAATACATCTTGCCATCACTTTTTTTTTCTTCCGTTCTTTCCTTTTTGTGAAAAAAAGTTGGATTCTCCGATCTGTCCTCGAATTACGTGATAGCAAATTCAACTGGGTTTTTGGGAATTCATCAGACTGATCTTAATTCGATAGATAAAATAACGAATTCGGTGAATTAAGGACTCATCCCCTCTTCCGCAATACTCAAATGCAATAGTCAGATGTCAAAAACTAGAAGGAACAGAAATGATGGATATATGCTTCGCTGAAAGGCAACTCGTGGGTGGTTGAGAAGAAAAGGAAGAAGATTAGGGCTGTGCCGATGTCTCGGCGACCACCGGAATCGGTCGCCGGTGTTGCACCATCGGTGCCATCGGCAAGGCTGCGGCAAAGCTGTCGATGCCAATGCCCAATGGAGGAACAAAATGAAAAAAAATTAACATGCGAAAATCCTGCCTGCCTCTCCTAGACAAAACTATCGCTCAATTTCAACCCCTCTGTAGGAGCCAGCGGGGGAAAATAGCGGTTAAGAAAGGGAAATCATTGCTCCTCCTTTCATATTATGCTTTTGCGAGAGATGTGTCGCGAAACGCTTCTTACAGCAGCAATAGGTAACAAGCTAACCACTGACAGACATAATTAAAAAAAACAGACAAATAGGCTGGACGGAACTAAAGTGGTCCCCATCGTTTTAAGGAGGCCCAATAATAAGTATGACATGGCTTCTAAATAGCCTGAATTGAATTAGCTACATTTCAAACCTAATGTGACCATGAATAGTGAATGAATCAAGCGCCTGCGAGTAATGTAGTTGATTGAAAAATCCTTATTTTGACATGATTTCCCCATTTCATCGAGATGGCGACCTCTACTTTCGTCCTCACTACAGGGTGTTAGTTTTATCGCGGGCCCCCGCCACGAGGGGCTGCTTAGAGAGCGAAGTCTCGGCAGCAGAATGTGAAGTGCCCGCTAGCAAACTTGCCGACCGCCTGTTGTTGCTTCAGTCTGAATCTGCCCCTGTCGAAGAACGGTTTGTTTCGTGCGATGAAGTGTTCGCTTGAGCAGATAGTTTTCCTGTACGATACGTACGTAAAGTACTCGTAAAAATACTGTCAAGCAAACTTCCGCTGAAAATATTTTTTGCACTCCAGTTCCAAGCAAATCGACGATCCAGAGGCTAGTTACAAAACTGCATACAACGGGATCATTGCTAGACAAGAAGAGAGCTCATACGAGGCACGTTTTGACTGTAGAAATACTGGATGACGTCGGCGCTAGTCCGCTCGTCAGTCCGTCATAGTGGGGCCCGCGATAAAACGAAAATAACGTACATCATTGACGATTGAAAAAGCACGAGTTCACGTCGCAGATACGCAGTCACGTGAAACTTATTTGTGGGAAGTGGCATCCATTATTTTTACCACTAGCATGAAAATATAGAAATACACAGAGTGCTCCGCAGACACGTCCATGGAAAGGATCTCTCTCCCCAGCATACCCAGATGAATAAACTCGTCCAGAGCCTTACCCTGGGCGAGAATGCCCGGCAGGAAGATGAAGAGCAAGGAGAGGATGAGGGAAAACTTCATCATGGAAGATACACTGGCTCAAAGGAACTGGACTTTTCATAATCGGCGACTCCATATCTGCCGGGAATCCTGGTGTTCAGTAAGTACGGCGCGTTGATATCTTCGGGAATAACATCACCTGCAGTTTCCCGACGATTTACTTCTCGGGCAATGGCGCAAGAGTGGTGGGTTCTAGGTCGATCAGAACCGCGAGAAATGTAGTCATCCTTGGGGCTCGTAAACAGAATCTCCGTTACCCGATCTTGAGGGGGTGAGAAAAGTTATGAAATGGGTGGTTTTACTGATATCAACAATTTTAAAACTCGTTAAGAACGCGTCCAAGACGTGGCGAATTCGTCCAGCCAGTCGGGAGCGCTATCACAATGCAAAGAGCCACCCATCAGGAGCAACTTGACAGTCCGTTGACCTTCAATTGAGTGTGATTCGCTTGAGTCAGTTCTCAGTTGGGGGAGACAGCGGGATCATTAATTCCGGGCTTGTTGAAGCTTGGACTTTAACCAATCACATTTTGCTAACCACTTGCTCATACCATTCCTGTTGTTAAACGGGTATACGCTTTCTTTCTGAAGACGAAGGATGAGCACGAGTTACAGAGCAATACGTGCTAGCCTACGACGTCCGGCGCGTCTTCGATTTTTCACCATAGTCATGGCGAACAAGATGATGCCTCCTTGCCTGTTGCCAAAATTTGGATGAAAACCTCGAAATTCCTTATGCATCTTAATTTAATTGCAATGGTTGAAACAGGTGGAAAATGCATTTAATTTCGTCATGGAGAACTAGTGGGTTTACCAAGTTACACCTTTACTGCGCAACATTGAGTCGAAGATGCCCTTTATTGAATGTCGTTTATGAACCTGTGATTGATCCGTGGAAGTCGCTCACTCCTGTTCCAGATCTGAAACGTGCCGGCAATGAGAATTCGAACGTCGACCAATATTTTTGCATTCCTGTCCCTCTCAAAAATAAGGTAGGTCTCCATTCACTGAAGTGTTGAAAATCAGAGAAGAGGCCACATTGTAAACCGTCCCCTAGGCCCCTCCAGTATGATCATAGGCGCGCTATTATTTCGCTATTATTTCAATGGAGAAGCAGGATTTTCCTTTCAAATGGAAAAATACCTTTTTAAGAAATCAAAGAGCTTGTCAACATTTTCACTGAACACATATTTCCTAAAGGAAAAACTCCAAAAGGACCTTTCCGATCTCATTCGATTTTGTGTTTTGGGGTAAAACGTCCTTTTTGAGTGGGCGAGAAAATTGGCTTTATATTAATACTATGAAGTTGGAATAGGAAAGGACATCATTCGACCAACTTCTCTCTTCTCATTTATTCGCAAGTGAGTTGAAGCAGATAGTACGTGGACGGACGAAAGGGGGCAGGAATAGAGGATGAGATCCATCTGTTCCCCCATTACGAGATTCATGACTGACGGTCATTGTCGTCTTCTTGACTTTTAATGGTTAATAAGGATAACCACATTCGAAATTGTACAACCCAATGGTTATGGTGTTTTCCTTCAGTTTTTGGTAGGCATGCCACGATGGAGTTTTCTTTTTCTGCTGGGGCTTCGTCAAAGCGTGAATCTCAGGTAAAGTCGTGGGCCCTAGAGGATTCATGTTATCAAAATGCAAGACCTACTTACGTCTTACTATGTAAGAGCTCTGTTTATGTGAGAGCTCTAGATTGTGGTGACCAATTTCTTTCCGTCTAAGATCCAGGAATCTGTCCCGAATATGGGAATAAGAAATGAGGAAGTGTCCGCTTTTATTACTGTCTATAATGAGGCAAGGCGAGATACAGGACGATATGACATAACGTACCTGTGAGGCAGATTCTTGGGAAAGAGGGAAGGGCGATTCTATGTACTGTGGGAAACAGTAGTTCCACAACTCCATTTAGTGGTCTAAAGGGGAACCTTACACCACAAAAATTATATTTGCAATGGTGTTTCACTGTCATCTATGCCTTTTCTACTGTTTAACCCTGAAAAAGTCAAAACCTGAACTCTGTTTAGTATCATCCGATTCCCATGAAGGAATTTATTCTCGTTTACAACCCGCTCGTGGTTATATCCCACTCAAAGGGTTGAATATCAAACCCTCCTCGTCAAAAGGGATAAAAAGAATTCCAAGGAGGTTCAACAAAGAAATATCTAAGTAACCCTTTGAGATAGTGTTGTACCGACATCTATCCACTTTTTTTCTATTCAACCCTCAAAAAGATATACTCTGAACCCTTGTTGCTAAACGTGTAGCTGGAAATTATGAGTTTATAAATAAGAAAGCCTGAAAATTAGTCGAAACAGGAATTTTTATCTCCAGGCCAAAAGTTCAGTCTCTGGGTTTCCTGTTTCATGCCCTAGCAGACATTTTTCGAAACTCATTGATGCCTTAAAATCTCATTATTAATCTAACATCAGAAGGTTTCATCTCACCGATAGAAGTAGTCTCACGAAAATCGTTTAGGCAACCTTCAGATAATAAAAAAAATTTCCAATTGCTGGAAATTTTCGAAATGAAGGATCGTATCAACAAGACAGGATTCATTTCTCATCACCACTTACAGAAGGCAGACCTAGGCATATTGTGGGGCAGTGAATGGGGAATGCTGACATACACGTACGGGTAAAGCTAAAATCGCAAAGGAGAGCTCATGCGCCTGGTTAGTGCTTGCCCATTCACTTCCTTCGCATTTCCCCCTGCCCACTTCTCAGGCTACAATAACGTTCAGAAGTAAGTCTTGGTATGAAGAGGGGAAGGGGGGGAGTGAGGAGAGAGGGGATGAAACGTAACAGACATATATGGTTTCATTAGAACACAATATTTTAAGATGTCGCAAGTTGCTCCAAAGAAACAGGTTTCAAAGCAAATAATCAGCAGAATACAGGATTCAAGGCAGGTTTGCCACTTCTCCTTCATCTGGGATCAAGGTTCCATAGAATTTTCATTTTTGTTTCGTATAATATGGAACATGCGGCAGGCGTATTCCGAAAGGACATTGCTCTCATGACGTGAGTGTGGAATGATAAATAAGAGCGAAGGATTGGATGGGTGTGGGAGGCATTAGTCTGGTTGACCTAGGGACAGGTAAGGCTCATTCGCTAAGTTAACTTTACCCAATTTCCTCAATCTAACTGATACTTCATGTGAATCATTGGTTCTTGCGCATTTGTGGGGTTCTTCATTCTCTGTCGACTCAGAAGAAAGTTGAGCACCCTTCTGTCTCCTGAATGAGTTCCTCTTAAAAATGGGCGTTGAACGCGATTGCAGGTTCAAACCAGATGTCAATTCAGAATATTTTTTAGATGTCCAAAACGAATTTTGCTTCCATTTTGGGCGTTCACTGAACACCTCGACGGATAGCCAAGAGTTCTCCTGGGATATAATAGTGATGCAGAATCCTGTAAAGTAACTCCCAATAGAACCTTTTCAATGACTGGTGGCAAATCACAAACCAGTTGGATCGTGCTTGAGGTTGCTATGGAATAAACTAAGTTTACTGGGTGAATACTATCACCAAGAAATCCAGGATCCTAGACTCTCATTAGCAAAGAGCCGGCTAGATCAGAGAATGCTAGGGTTGAGAAGGAACGCCATATGTTCATGGGCGACTCTCGTTCACGTCGGATCCGGTAGAAGAGGAGCTGGAACTGAAAGGACCTCTCGTTTTCTATAGTTCGCTCTGAAACTGCCCTATCTCAGCAAAATTGAGAGTCGCGCATGAAGATTCTTATGAATTCTCCATTGCGTGGCTGAGATCATTAGGAAGCTGCAAAATGCCTAGCTGTCCCTTCTTTCAACATACTCAACAGCTCTTTGGAACAAGAAAAGAGTGCGGATAAAACACCCTATTGACACATACACCAAGGAATTTGGACAAATGTACAGAACTTAAACGGGTTAAGGGGATTAAAAAGCATAAAGCGCAAGGCTTGACGCCTGGCTTTTCGCAGTGGACTTTATTGCTTGGCAATGTAAGACAAGTAAGACATGATGGACTTTAGTCTTGTCTGCTGGCGTAAATGATGAGACCCTCCCCGAAGGTGCATTCCAGGAATAATTGATCCCCAAAGAGATTCGTCAGTTGACCATTTTCAACGGACCAAAGGGCAGGAACGACGATGGCTCCATTCCGATCCATTGTTACGTCAATTGAATTGTACGCAAACCCTTCCCCGGTTATAAAATCAGACACGAAGGAGTAGGCGGCAGTGAAGATGCTCGAATCCAAACCTGGAGATACACAGAGAAACATTTCCATCAATACATTTATCATGAGTAATTGGGCCATTGATGGATGGATCACTACTGTCGGGGTTGTTGATGGCCATTTCCCGAAGGTAAGCGCCTGCGGTGACGCCAGTGAAATCTAATCCACTTCCGGTTGGATCGTTGCACAGTTCGTAATTGACTCGGACTTCCAAGTGAGTCCCTTCTAGGGCTGCTGCATACACTTCGAAGTAGCTCTCCAGGGCACGACTAGAAATGGATTTTTAAAAAGCGCCACTTTTCATCAAGTTTAAACAGGAAATTTGAAAATATCCCACTTCAGTTTCATCATTGAGCCCAAAAATGCCCAAAAAATCCAAGTCTGACAGTTGTGTTTAAACCACTCTTGCGTCAGAGTATGACCTCAAGCTTGATTTCCCGTGGTTTACAACGTTTTCCTGGAAAAATCTTCTCTAAAAAGTGTTTCACTCATACCTTCTCGGAAAAGGAACAGGAGTTGAGAGTAACGCATTATTGCATATAGCTCCCAGGAATGTGTTAACCTAGTCTATGAGGACTAACAAGGAGCTTCGTGTAATTATTGTCCCGGTGTATGCGAAATGAGAATAACTTCTCTAGAGATTTCACCACCTGGCTTCCTGTTCTTGACCTCATCGAGGCCTAATAAAGATGGTTTGAAATTGCTTTTTTTAAAAAGTGTCATGAAAGCAACCGTCTCAGATCGGAAAAGCACTCAGAACTGATGTTCACTTATTAGGCAATGTGGTTGAGCTGACTGAATCCAACAATTCATTTTGAAGGATGAGAAAAAAAAACCAAGTTTTTAAAAGGATTTCATTGACTTATCATTTTCATCTTCTAGGCCACGTCCAGACGTCAAGTAAGTCTGGACTCTGCCATTATGAATTGGAAGGAGCAATCATATGTTTCTCCTGACAAACGTTCAGCTCCCGCAGTTATGCATCGAATTGATCAAACGTATTGGCTTTTGTAGCAAGAAGGGAGTTCGAACAAACCCAGTGATAGACGGAGTGAGGATTTGAAGTACCTTGCTCTAGCCGGAGCAGAGACAATCGCGCCAGTCCCCATCGGGCATGTGTAGGTGACATCAAGTGCGATTTCACCCGTGAGTGGGTTAAAGATAGTCACATGGTTCCTCAACAAATTCTCGTCGGTCATGGAATATTCCTGAAGTACCGCTGCTTCGGCGGCTGAAAAAATGAAAAAGTTTTCGTAAGTTTTAATCTCAGGATTAACGCATTAACGACTCAACGGAAACACTTATTTGAAATTTCACAATAGAAGACTTCATCATTACCACCTCACTAAACTACTGACACCCGACAGTTGAAAGACGTATCAGGGCTTACTTGCAGCAAGGACTTGAGAAAAGTCGATTTCGTGACCCAGAGCACTGTCCACGTCGAACTGTGCCCATTCCAGCACTCTCACTCCCATTGCCTGTAGTAGAATATCCTCGTCAACACATTATAACTGTTGCCAGATATCATCAGTGAAGTCCATGGAATCATGAAACACGTACATTGATGAATTCTGGGGCTCCTTCACACTGGGTGTGATCAAGAGAAACTTGAAGTTCCTTTCCAGACAGAAGGGCTTCTTCAGCAGCAGCAAATGAGTCATAGAAGTCATAGGACTCCTCTACAAGAACAAATGCTGGAATCAATAATGCCTTTCGGGAAAACATGAAATCCGGAATTCCTGTACGCAAGGGACTAAAAAATAGGCATTTCTGCAATGCAAGCCCGGAAGACTTCAGATAGACAGTGAAATAATAGTAACGTCGTCAACAATTTCACTAAATGCCTGCACTCCATCAAGCTACAATTTCCACGATTTGTCCACGGAATCATTTCACCATCGGCTAAGAATATTTCTTTAAAAATATAGAAACCAAATCGAATGAGAAGGTAAGACTCACGTTGCCGATACTGGAAGCGAATGCCATCGTCGAGTGTGCACTGAAACCCCTGTGGGAAGGGATATACATCTTCCCAGGTCGTCGTGATGAAGGAATTCCCGGTGACGTTCACGAACCCATCCGGATAGACCCTAATTTGAGCAACGTTGAACGTTGGTGCTGTTCCGTCCGGGCTCACTCCCAAATAGTCGTATTCCACGATAACATCCTCCAGTCCACTGGTTGGGTCTGCGATAATGGTGGAACTCATCTTGAACTCAAGTTTCTTTTTGGAATAGAGCCTTTCCTTTCATTAATTACTCACGAAGCCCCAGTAAAAAACAAGAGGACACTGACTAAAAACCCAAAACTCTATCCATGTATTAGTTTTGCATTGGGAAAGAATTTTCACACCTGCCTCTAAGTGGGTTTTAAAATTACTCAACTGACTGGTTTCGACGTAGAACTGAAGATGGTAGCCTCCTCCCTGAGCCTTGGACACTCCTGTCGTCGGGTTTCCTTCGCACAATTCCGCCAGACCCACGAATGTCACGTGTGTACCGCCGAGAAGCAGAGATTTTAGATCATCGTAGGTCATGATGTGTTCACTGCAAATAATAAATACCGCCTTTTTATAATAAAAAAAACTCTTTCCTCAGTACTGAGAGCACTGCAAGAGAACTACCAGTATTTGTCAGAAAAATGATTTTTTTTTTATCTTCTTTTTTTCTTCCGTCTTGTCAGAAGTTAACTTTAATGGAGAACTTGACTTCAACCTGATCGTAATTTACAGATAAATCTCGAATCTAAAAAAATCCGAAGGATATGTGATTCAACGCGAACAGACTTAGGGAAATTGAATCTCTTTTCGATGAAGAAGGCGCCAATGTTGATGACGCATTCGGCGACGTTCGTGTCGATAATGGATCCGTTTAGTCCCGAAATCACGTAGGTGACGAATGAGGCTCTCCCGATGTTGTCCACATACCCCGACACCAAAAAGAAATTCCCGTCAACTAGAAAAGAGCCCGATTCAAACCCGGCAGTTCAAGTTCCCAGTAAAATACATGAGCCGGGGGCTAAAATCCGGATACAATGTTCAGAGATGGTAAAATAGGACTCCTAAACAAGTGTGTAACAACGCGAGTAGAAGAGATATAAGGACAGAAGTCCCGTTTCATATGTAGTTTTAAAAACACCAATTGACCACAGTTGCAAGAATGTTTCAGCCTGAGTTCAGAGCTCCTGTAATCATTCCGTTGCTGAAAACGTCGTGGATTAAAAAAAAACTTATTGAATGAACGAGCATTATAGAGGTGGAAAAATGTTAGTTGGCATGTCCCATACGATTTAATTACATTTTATCAGGTTTTTTTTCACTTCTTGACCTTATTGCATAGAAAAAATATTAGTCTTTTCAGTTTTAGACGATTATCAAGCATTACAGACATTACCAAAAATTGATTTTATTCCTGCATTCCATGTCCCCATTAACAGACATCGCCACTAATGTTCTTCATTGCATCTGTGTGCACGCTAATCACAGATGGCACTGATGGTCTCATCCCGGCAATCTATATCGATGGTTGCCGATACATTGGTACAATCTTAAGTTATTCGTGTTATTCATGCTCTCGGATGGAAGCTTCCTGCGACGGTGGTGACTATTTAATAGAAAATCCTATAACGTCGTAAATAGCAATAAATCCATCCTGTCGGTAAACCTGACATTTGAAGATAAGGAAAGGGCGTAGCTTATTTGTAATGTGTGTGATATCATTTGGTCCCCTCCTCTTCACGCAGCAGGAACTATTTTTGGTCGAGGGGGGAGGGGAAGATGGAAAACGTTTACTATTACATAACAAGGAGTCTCCGTAGTCCATCCGTCTCCCTCTACCAGGTTAAGAGCGCTACCAAAAGAGGTTTCCATAGAGAAAAGTGAAATATACGTACAGAATATGAAATCATGATTGAAGGTGATGTAATCTTCGCTCCCGTCCTCCAGTTGGATCCTCGTCCACGGGTCCATGGGAACCACGATCCTCTGCGAAGACGATCCATTTCATCCAATTTTTCTTCTTTCAGTTTCGTTCAGGAATGTGGAAAGGACTTACGGGTCTGAATTCGGGAGGGAAATCGGAATCGCAGTATTCGGCATCGAAGATGGCCGTGACGTGATTACCGAGTTCCAACGCCCCCGCCAATTCATCGTACGATCCGAGCGTCTGATCCCCTGGATTGTTTTCTCAAATTTATGTCCATGAAGGAATAACCCGAAATTAATATGTCTTACTCCTTATCTACCATCGTCTTCTTTTCTTTTACCTCCCGTGTGATGACAGTTTCCTGCAGCGTCTTCCCAAACATGTCCTTCACAGCTTTCCAAAAACTGTCTAAAATTATGCCTAATGGTACAAACGAATCACAGATTAATTGGTATGAACCACATACCAATTGTCTGCGCGCAAGCAAACTTCTTCGATATCTCCAAATGGGATAATCCCATATTTGTTAGAAGCAAGGCTTCTTGTTGGTATCTTGAAGATGTTAATAGATGAGAAAATCATGGGTCAAATAGTTTTTCGTAAAATTCCGTTCACATTCCTAATCGCGTTCCCATTGGAGGTTTCCCTTGGCTCGTCTGGTGCTTTTCATATTGTCAATGCAGTAAAACTTATCCGGGGAATATTCAGGATCCTAAGCAGCGTGGAATCTCAGTCCATTATCAACAAAAACTTTTCCGGTCGTTAGGCCTTAGGACCACATGATTATATCATATATCATTATATTCGAATGAATTAAAGGCAGTCTTTCCTCCTAGCACACGCAATGCACCTTGAGGCAAGAAAAGGTGCTCTGTGTGCAGTAAAGGTAGGTACTCCAGGTAAAAGGTAAGAGCGGCCGGTCGTGCGATCTCACCTTGGGCGAGAATGCCCGGCAGGAGGACGGAGAGAAGGCAGAGTTTAAGGGAGAGCTTCATCGCGGAAGTGCCACTTATCACACGGAGTCTGGCACCTTCTTCCTTCGCCTTCTTTTATACGGGTGGGGGATCCTGGCCTTGAGAACACCCGACGGATTCCGGAGCATCATCACATGCTTTCTTCCCGCGAGTCAAGGCAAAATAGGGGAATTCCGCAATGACTTCGGACCCCACAACTGTGGGACGGGGAAGCTGGATGTAACCGCGTGGAGGCAGCCACGATGATAAGTTCTCGGAAATGTGAGAAAAGACGAATCCCATTATATAACGCTGTTTCCAGCTGTTACCCACACTGGCTGTTACCCATGGAACATTCACATCTTCCTAATTGAGGTTAACCTCCTTCTTTCCCATAGCTTTCAAATGAAGCACACAGTTGAAATTTTGAATAACCATATTTTGGATCGATAATATTGGGGACGTCCCCCCATCTCTCCCTTCCCCCTTCCCCCCATCTCGAATTTCCCAATATGCCAGTTTTCAGGAAATTCAATTCCATAATATTCAAATGGGACAATGTGCAGAACCCTTGGATATCAGATGAAGAAGGGAAGATGCTTCCCGTACTTCCCATACTTCCCATACTTCTCATTTCCCTTTTTTTCCCCCTTTAATAACATTTTTCAGTGAGTTCTGTTTCATGGAATTACAAAACTATAACATCCAAATTCTGATAGACACGCTTTGGACAGTAACAGTGGATGCGTTCCGTCACTCTGGACCTCCCAATTACATGGATTCAAATTTTCAGCGAGTTCCGTCCCACAGCATTCAAGCGAGACGTGCTGTTCGGATTTGGAGCACCCTACTATTGTACAGAGAAAAGGAGTTGATTTTGAGGCGTGCACAGGATGCGGATCGGCTCGATTGCACAGAAAACAATAAAGGTGAAATCCCGCATCCTCAAGGGTGTGTATGCGTTGTCACTGGACAGCCACCCTAGGGGTGAGCATGATCACTATGAAACTAGGGTGAGAATGCTCACCGTGGTGTCCAGTACCCTTGGTGGTTGCATGGCCACCCTCAGGTGCAAATGCCTCGCTCTCTTTTCAAGATGGCATCAATTTTTCGATGGGCAGCACAAGCCTTTCGGTATTGCCCCCAGGTGATACATATACATTCCCCAGGGAAAACCATTCAAGGCCAACCTCCTTTCTCACCCCTAGTATTCCACACGCTCCCTTTAGAGATTCATTCTTCCCCTATAGAGAACACATATCGTACTAGTACTGTAATTCTCTCTAGTTGACTATAATTCCAGTCCTAGTAATGGATAGATAATAAATTTTCAATGGCGGAGATTGCTCTACTTGGCAAGTCTTGTGTGACATTGGTATCGCAAGATAAGGGTCTCTTTATCATGTTGATGTTCCAACTTTGGAATGAGCAACTGAATGAATAGGCCCACATTCGATATATATATTCTCGCATTAATGTTCCTCCGTGGCCTAACACATATCTACATCTGCGTTGTCTTAGTTCCTCACGAGGAAAATATTAGGTTGGAAAGAAAGTCTAGCAACACTCTGCGCAAATTTTTCAAAATGTTATAACTTTATTGGAATGCAATTTCAGTCTACAATGTAATGACCATTGTTGTCTATGACA